AACCTGCCTTACCCGGAAAACAAGGAAGCGCAGAGGCTGCTCTTCTGTCGTCCTCCCATACAGCATTGCACCTTTGGCCGATTCAGTTGCGAACACCACACTTCCAAAACCTTACATGATGATGTGGATCCCTGGACGGTAATAAACCTAAGAAAACCTCATGTTAGGGCATATAAATGGGGAGGCTGATTGACCAGGGTCTACGTTCTTGATCCTGACCTTCCAGAACACTGAACCCTCAAACACCCCCAAATGTCCCAAGTCCTCTTCGGGATCCTCATGTGGGGATCCGGCTATGCAGGATTTCTCTATCTGTATCTCTATCTACACCTATATATCAATATCGCTAGCAATATCTATGTCTACAGCAGTTCAATACCTATATCCAAATCTCTACATACATACCTTCATATGCATGTGTATGTATATATATATATATATATATATGTATACACATCCATCCATGCATCTATCTATCTATCCATCTATGCATTCTGCTCCCTTGTTTCAAGGATCTGTGGGATAAGCATCCTCCTATTGACAGTGCAGTACCCAGAGGCGTCGATTTCTATGTCAGGGAGCCCTGATTGAGGAAGCCTTTTACCAATCAGTTAAGACCTGCCACAATCCTCTAAGTAAGATTGAGGGTTTAGGGTTTGGGGTTTTGGGATTTTGGGTTTAGGGAGGATTTCAGAAGGTCTGGGTAGGCCCCTGTATCATACCCTACACCCTACACTAAAGCCTCTACACCCTAAAGCCTAAAAACCCTAAACCCATTGAGGTTCTGCTTTGCACGGACTCAAAGATGCTGCTGACTTGGAACAGAAGATGGCGCAGCATTAAGCAGAGGCGGCGTCCCCCAAAACCAGAAGAATCCGAAGTATCGGAAGTCGAAGTTTTGAGGGCCAGGGGCCATAGGGGCTAGGGGGCTTTGGGCTTTAGAGTTGAAACTTTGGCGGTTTGGTGTTTAGGCTTCACGGTCGGGTGGCTAAGGGCTTCGGGTTTTGGAGTGCTAGGGAACAAGGTCAATATACCCTGAATCCTAACCCCAAACCCTGACCAAATAAACTCCATGCCCTAAACTGAACAATAGAGCGCTCAAGTCCTAAACTGCATCTCGGACCCCCAAACCCTGTGCCTAAACCCCTGAGGCTGTACCTGCAGGAGCCTTGGCAATGGGCTTGGGGTTCAGGGGTTTAGGCGTTTGGGGGTTTAGGGGTTTGGGGGTTGAGGGGTTTAAGTTTAGGGTTTAGGGGTTTAGGGTTCAGGGGTTTAGGCGTTTAGGGGTTTAGGGGTATACGGTTTTGGGGCTTGGGGATTTGAGGTTTAGGGGGCTAGGGGCCGCACCGGGGGGAACCCCACGGAGAAAACCCACGACAATTACGCAGGCCCATTGTCGGGTCAAGGGTTTAGGGTTTAGGGTTTAGGGTTTAGGGTTTCGGGTGGAGCCCTTACAGCAGAAGTTCTGCCAAAAAGTTGGAACACCATTATCCTCATGCCCTTAAGGTAAAGTAAGGGGAATCCCAGCACTTATCATCTTAACTCCATGTTCCAAAAATACAGGGCTCACTAAACGCTAAACCCCTAAAACCTTATTAAAAGAACCTCCTCCGACCGTTATGCCTGACGAGGAGGCTATCTTCTCAACAGTCTGCGGGGCTGGGATTTCCGTCTTTACTTGAGGTTCATGGGTAGCCATAAGTGGGTTACAAGTGCCCTATTAAGGGCTCTAAGTATAGTTAACTTACGTACAGCCCCACTTACAAGCATGACCAGAGGCTCCGAATACTCCTAAACCCTAGACCCTGGGCCACAGTTTAGGGTTTACGGTGTTGGGTGAGATTCCCGGCAGGTCCCCGACCTTCACAAATCCCAAGAAATCAGAAGCAATATACCTTCAGTTATAGTACGATCCAAAAACTAAGAACTGAGGTATATGTCGTAATTGAAGGATTTTGAACGGTCTTGGGTCCCCGAAGATGGGTGTACCATAAGATTCCCCAACATCCGCTGCAAGATACCAAGGCGCCTCTTACCCTAAACACTAAGCCCTAAACCGTAAGAACCCTCAACTGTAACAGCCCTTAACCCTAAACACTACATGCTGAAATTTGCAGTGGTGGTTTGCATTTGATGTGATGAAAGAGTTTGCTCTTTGCCTGGGAAACTTGCAGGATGTGGTGAACCTCAGAAGCCTGAACATGTGGGCTTAGGGTTTCGGGTTTCAGGGCTCCGGGCTTACTGCAGGGTTCTGGGTTGGGTTGAGGGTTTGAGGGACCCCGGAATGCTCGGAAGCACCACTCTTGGGCATTCCTGAGTGACGGCCTGTGGTGACGCTCATCGGCAGCAAGAAGAACCAATGCTGCAGGGGTTTGCCCGGGGGCCCCCTCGTGCCCCTGAAAGGGCTCTGACATATCTCATTACGAGGTAATTAATTAGGAGCTACAACAAAGGGTAGTTGAGTCTAGGGTTCAGGGTTTGGCGGTTTAAGAAGAAAAAGAATTGTGGAAGAGGATCCGCACTCGGAATGGCTGCTGGCAGAGTGAACCGTGACGAGAAGATGAGTGAGCCCTTAAATGAAGCCCCGAACTCCAAACCCTGAATCCAACAACCCCCAAAAACCACGAAGGACGGAAAGGGTCGTCATCACAAGCCCGACGCCACAGCACCACGGGACTGGGACTGGGCCGGTCGGCCCCTTTCTCTTGAAAAAGGTCTGCGAATGCTGGAACCAGCCGGCTCCGCTCGGAGGTTCGCGTGGCTTCCCGGGCTCATTAGGCTTCTAAATATGGGGTGTTCTATGTGGGTCGATACCCATAGGCCCCAAAGTAGTTCCTTTTTGGGATTACCTTATAGGATTCTATATACGAACCCCATAAAGGAACTACTTTGGGGCCTTAGGGTAAGGCTACATAACCCTAGACTTTAGGCTCGAAAGGGTCTGACATATAAAGGCGTTGGTTGAGTCTGGGTGACGACGGGCCCTAGGGTTCTAAAGGCATCGGGTCTATGTAGCCCACGTTGATTTTGCTCTAGTCTAGGTCTCATTTATTGCAGCTTTTGCTGAGCCTGGGTGATTCTGAGTCCGCGGCTTGGGGCTTACTGTAGGATCTACAGACAAGGCGGACATAGGCGCAAGCCACTCGGGCGTTGTCTGCTTCGGGCTTATACGTCGAGAACTTTTGAGTTCCTTATGTTCGTTCTGCCGTGGCCTGAAGCCTTTTTGCAACGTCACATGAACCCTCGAGCAGCAACAGTGCAAGAAGCACCCGCCGCCGGAAGTGCCAACTCGGGGCTACTCAAAATTACTACCACAGCCCCGGACAAAGAATTAGGGCGAAGCCGCAGTGGGGAGCTTCAGAGAACAAGAAGCCCACGTAGAGAGAACCCTACGTAATGGATCCACATAAGGGTTTAGGGTGTAACGGTGGAGGGATGGATCTACATCAGAAGGATTTTTCCATAAGCACCCCCCCTGTTCGAAGAAGCCCCCGTATGTCAGAGGCGGCAAGGCCGGAACAGGGCTTGGAACAGCCCTTCGATCAGCCCTATGCGATGGACCAGGAAGCTGGCTGACATAGATGAGGGCATCAGCGGAAAATTGTAGCCACATCTTCATTGCCACTGAGATTTCTAGCCCTTCAGATTACTCTTGTTGATTCCACGGTTGTTAGGATGAGTACGGTTAGATACATATCTATATCGTCATTGCTTTGAATAAGCATGAGTAATCAAATCTCAGCAGGTATTGAGAAGATGGAGCTTCCTGTCGGCCACGTTCGTGTGACTGCTGGCCAGGAAAACAAGAGAGAACCGCACAAGTTGGTCGAGGTGCAGTCCGCAAAGCACTACTAAAACTGCAGGTCCACATGCATTTGCCCAGTAGCAGACGTCTATAGTCTGCCGAGGGCTATCTTCGGGCACTCCTGCTGAACCTAAACCCCGACTCAACCTTAAAGCCCTACACCCCGAACCCTAAACCCCCAATAAACCCTTCGCACCTAAATCCCCAAAGCCCTAACGACCCTCTGTGGCGAGCCCTCATCGTCATCGCTGTCTTGATCTTGATTGACCTGTCTGCTCCAAAAAATTCGGGGTTGACGACTTTATACACTTCAAGACTGGAGCGGTAGGGTTTAAACCGGTTTAGGGTGGGTTTCTGGATTTAAGGGCTTTGTCGGCCCTATGTATGGCTCGTGTTGGTGGGGAATGTGACGAGGGCTCTATACTTAACGAGTCGTGCGACATAGTAAGGTTATAAGTACCCGACTTGGGGTTAGAAGTACTTATACATGTATGGCCACCTTACTATGTCCCTCAGTGTTAAGCCCCCCCAATCCTTTAAGTAGGGTCTGGGGTTTGGCACACTGGCGGTGCCGGCACATTGAGTTTACGGCTTGGTTCGGGCCAAGAGCTTGTACCTCAGGGCTTGGGATTTGGGAGTTTCCGAAAATTAGGGGTACCTTATTCTGGGATCCTTATTATAGGGATCCTACTATTTAGGGTACTATATTAGGGTCCCCTATTTTCGGAAACTCCCATTTAGGGTACAGGGTTGAGGGTTGAGGGTTTAGGGCTCAGGCAGGGTTTGGGGTTTACGGTCCAGGGTTCAGGGCTTGGGTGTTTTTGAATGCTGTTTTGCGAATGATGGTTCGGCCTATGGAAGCCTACATGAAGGCTGAGGGTTTAGGGTTTAGAGTGGAGCCTGAGAGTTTAGTGTAGGGGTACAGTGTGGGGGTTAGGGCTTAGGATTTGGAACACTTGGGCTTATAGTAGAAGCCAGAAAGTTGGAATATCATTATCGTAACCCCTTTAAGGTAAATTATGGGGATCCTACCATTAATCCATATTCCAACTTTCTGGAATTTCCTTTAGGGTTTAAGCATCAGGAGGAGACGGAAAACAGGGCATAGCCCAAAACTCCTAACCCTAAGCTCTCTACCTGCAAGGGTTTAGGTTAACCCTCAAACCACACACACCGCAGGCACAGGCTACTTATTTTACTCACCTCGTGCCAAAAGGGGCTACCAAGTACAGCTATACAACGGCAGTAGTCAGAACATGCTTTATATCCTGACACCCCTCCATGGCCAGCTGAATCCTTGAGCTGGACAGCTGACCTGCACTACTCACGGGTTGCAGTGTGTACAAGGACCAAAGCCTCTTTGCGTAGCCTCAGCCCTCTGCAACGTGTACGGGTTTTGGCCCAGGTGTCTACAGTGTCTCCTATGAAACTTCTTGCCCTTACGGGTGACGTAGACGGGGCTACCCGCATTCGCCTCTAGACCTCGTCGGTCCACGCGGCCTCCAGCTGTAGGGGCCGGCTTCGTTGAAACATGTGGCGTGGTCCACCACACAAACGCAAGCTTGATCCATCGCCAAATGGTCTGGATCGCCAAGATATGGATGATCAGCATGTAGATGAAGAAGGAAACGTCTTCAGTCTCGAGCTGGCGCTCCTTCGGCTGCCCCGTAGCCACGCCAAAGGACGCGAACAGGCACGCCATGACCAAGCCCCTTGTGAGAGGCATGCCCTTGACTAGCTCTGTCACTCTTGAGCCTGAAAGAGCTTTCGTGCCCAAGTCGGCCCAGTTACTCTTCGTAGGTTCCTTCTGCACCGTAAGCTGCTTTCTCTGAACACAGTCCTGTATCCAAAGCTCCTTCATGGACAAGTGCTTCACCTTGCCCGAGCCCTTGCGTGTCGCGATTCCCTTTGCTGCGCTCGAATCGGTTCTCAGGGTAAGCTTCAAACCCTTAAACCCAATCCGTTCCCAGATCTGCGCTGTCAGCAGTCCGGCGGCAGCTCCTCGCACCAACGCGTAAAACTCAGCCTCTCCAGAGCTGAGCGCTATCACCGATTGCTTGGCACACGAAGCATCGATGAGATGCTTCCCAAATCTCTCAGCGTAGCTGGACATAGACTTGCGCGTGCGCTTGCACGCTCCCCAGTCCGAGTCCGTAAGCACCACAGCTTCCTCAGGCTGCTCCTGGTACTCGTAGTGCCAAACTTCCTTCGGGTACTTCAGAAGGTAACGGCCTAGGTGCTTGAGCTTGAGCTCGTGTTCAACCGTAGGCTTTGCCATGCCAGAGGTGATCTCCGACAAGGCATACTGGATCGTCGGGCGATCCTGGGACAGGTAAAGCGCAGTACCAGCGAGTCTCCGGAACTTCGCTGCAGCCTCAGCGTCCAAAGGATCTTCGAGATCCCTGCGGCCTTTCCCACATTCCGTAGAACATGGGGCGTCTGCGCTCTTAGCGTCCGTAAGCCCGAGCTCCTCAACGATCTGCCGCGAGTACTTAGGATCAGCTTCCCAAGTGAACCCGCGCTCGCTCCATCGAATGATGCGGTGCAGATGATCACCATGCGTGGTCTGGCCTCCGAACTCCTCAGGGCCAATCCGTGGCAATATCTTGCTCTCAAAGGATTGCATCATCAGCGCATCCAGTCGATCCAGATCGTCGCTTTCGCCCTCAGCGATAAAGTCGTCGCCGTGGCAGCTCAAGGTCACGCACCACTCGTCGTGGTAGAAGAGGCCAGGGATTCCTGGAACCTCCCAGAAACCTGCCTCCGTCATGACCTCACACACGCGCTTTGACCACTGTCGCGAAGCCTCACGTGTGCCATTCATGGCTTTGAGCAAGTACCAGAGCTTCGATTGATCGAGATCTTTCGGAGGGACGACCGCAATTTTGCCCGTGGCCACCGCATGAAAGAAGGCAACAGAAACACCATACCGGGCAATAAGCTTGCGCCGGTTGGTCCTGCCAGCCTTTGCAGTGGCTGCAGCTGAAAGTACCATGCGGTGCGTCCGCAACGGCGGTGTTCCACTGAAAACGTCGTCGCGCTCGTGGTCGTTGATCTCTTGGGCTACGCAGCGGCTGCGCACCCCATTTGGATCATTGGGCAATGGTTTCCAACCATCCACCCACCGGCTTCGGACTATCTTTAGCCCCTGCCGTCGCGCCTCCTCCCAAGAGATGTCCTTCTTGACAGAGTGTTCCTCCATCTTGTCCAGCTCGCGCCCTCTTGCAGTCTTGACCTTGTCAACGGGAAGGGGCTGGCCTGTTCGCTCGTCGTAGGCACCAAGCTCCTCCACTCTGCCGTCCAGAGGGTAAGCAAACAAAGGCTCCCACTCGCCTTTCTCGTGGAGCGTGGGCAGTCCCCCCATCAACTCCTGGTCCTCAAGAGGACGCTTTTCACCTCTTGCTTCTGGCGTCTTCTGCTTCTTCGCTCCTTGTGAGCTCTTTCCAGTAACGCGGCGCTGCCCGCTGTCACTTGAAGGAGCGGGGACACCCGCATCCTCAACTTCTCGCTTCTGGCCTGACTTAGCCTCAGAGGTCCCCTCCATGGCCCTTGGCCTTGAAGGTTGACTCGGCTCGGTGCTTCCCGACTCCAAGTCTTGGCCGGTGCCCTCGGGCATCACGGCCTGACCTCCTTCAGTCTCCATGGGTCCCGCAGGCGTCCCAGGGACTGGTGTACCAGGCGTGCCTGGCACCGGTTGTCTCGGGTACAACTTCTCGAACCTCTTACGGCACTCGTCGTTGTGCCGCTTTGGGTTGTCGTCATCACACTCACAGCCAGGACATCCAGGTGTCTTGCCGTGCTTGATCTGACGCTCCAAGGTGATATACACCGAGGGCTGCCTACGACCTGGAGTCGCTGGGGCCTTGTTGTCTGAAGGCACGGTGGTTGGCTCTCCGCGCGGTTGCCAGCCCACCTCTTCTCTTCTGGCCTTCGCCAGATGCTTCTGCACCGACGGATCCCCTGAGCAGTGCCCAGGAAGTGCTCGTCGGAGGCAAGAGACTTGCCTAGCCAAACTCCAACTGACGTTTGCTTGTCCAGCTTGCCAGTCTTCTCTTTGTCAAGCTTGTAGTGCACGACCTCGCAGCACTCAGCAACTTCGCCGCGGAAGTCCCGGCCTCGAAGCCTTTCGTAAGGTGTTCTCCCGTCCTGCTTCACCAAGAAACGGGAGATGAGCCACCCTGCGTGCCGCACCAACCACGGAAAGACAACCCCCTCAGTCTCCAGGGGCTTCTTGTAGCGATTCTCCAGCGCGCTCGCAAGAGTTCGCACCTGACGCGCCAGCTCCAAAATGGCTCGCTCGGCCGCGCCGTTAGATGCGTGAGAACCTTTCGGTGCAGTCTGGTGCTGCACGCTGCCAGTCCAAGACTTGGCGGCACTTTCAGCAAGTGCCCGGATGCTATGCTCAGCATCGCTCATCATGATGACCTTTTGGCGCCCGCAGAACTTGAGCGCTTCAGTCACCAATCCAGTGGCATACGGGTTAACGCCCTTAGCCACCACACCAGAGAAAACACAACCGGACTTTTCGTCCACGATCACCAGAATGGGAAGGAGACCATCCTTCTCATCCTGAGGCACCTTGACCTCCTCTACGGAGTTCACTGGGCCCTTCAAGGCCCGTCCCAGAAAACAGTAGTCCAGGGAGATGCGCGCCACCTCCGACGCGCGACCGCTGGGCTCCCGAGCTGAGTGCGCATCCTCACGCACCTTGCCGTGCATGCAGTGATCGCACCAGCTTCGCATGGGCAGATGCGTAAGCATATGCTCGTCAAACTCGGCTTTGCTAACCGTGTCCGGGATCTTCTTTGTCTTCGGCCGCCGCGTGGCCTCAGACACTTCCATTGGCACGTCGCCAATCTCCGGAAGCCTCTGGGCGGGGCCACCCGCGCCAGGGCCGTCAGTAGAACTCCCTGCACCGGCGGAGTTACCCGCACCAGGGTTCGCAGCGGAACTCCCCGCATCGGCGGGGCCGCCCGCACTTGAGCTTTGGCCCGGCTGAGCGGAGTCACCCGCTTCACCAGGCTCCTCGCCTTCACCTGCCAGCGCCTTTGCTGGCACCGTCTTCTTAGCAGCCCTCGTAGCTGCTAACACGTCTGGGTCTTCAACCCTTTCACTTTCTTTCACCACGTTCACTGGGAGCCAAAATACCCCTCTCTTCTTTCTGAGTTGCATCGTGTCTTTGGTCTCTCCTAGGGCTTTCCTAAGCTTACACGCATGCTTATCTAGAACCATACACTGCACACCGGGGCCAATCACCGTCCAGGTGCCTTTCGTGGCCGCTTGGCCAGCAGAAAGCACCGAAAACCTAACCTTTTCAGACTCGGCGTACTCTACCGAAAAGGTCCCAGCACTGGTTTCGAGCTGGCTCCTAAGCCTCTGGTCGCTAGCCAAGGGCTCACCCGTAACGGTAACCATTCCAGGCCCCGAAACACGAGAACCCAACAAAGCACCGGAGTCAAACCCTTTCCGAAACAGGTGAGACCCTGCCCCCGTATCTACAAGAACCTCGGTCTCACTGGCCTCGGTGCTGGGCGTTGCCGCCACCACACCAAAGCAAAGGTCCGGCGATGCAGACATGGGCTCTGGTTCCTCCTCGCCCTCAGCGGGGCTAGCCGCATGAGGTGTGCGGTTCTTCCCGCCACCTTTTGCTTTAGCTTTGGGCTTGGCTTTGGCATCGGCTTGTTTCTTGCGACACTCGGCTTCTACATGCCCTTTCTTATGGCAGTACCAACACTCACGGTCCTTGTTGGGGTTTGCGCCTTGGGGCTTTTGCTTGTCTGAGCCTTGGCCTTTACCCCCTTTGTCGCCTTTGCCTTTGCCTTTGTCTTTGCCCTTGCCCTTCTCTTTGCCCTTTTTCCACGGTGCAGCTCCAAGGTCCATAGGCTGCGGGAGATTCTGCAGGACGCGGTTGGTCCTCGAAATCTCCAAAAGTTCCGCCTTCACATCCGTAAAGGATTTGAGCCGGCTTGAGTTCCGGATGATGTGGCTTTGCAGGCTGCTGTCCTTTAGCCCATTCACCACAATGCCCAAAAGCATCTCCTCATCCAGTGTTTTGCCGCTCTCCTGTTCATACCTCCGAACGCTCTTTTCGAAAGCCGCTAAGTCCCCCTCAACATCATCACCAAACTTGCTTGAAAGCAACGTTGTGAGGGTGCCCACATAGCGTGACGCAACCCTCGGGTGGAACTCCTCAAAGATGCGCCGGTAGGATTCAAGACCTTCTCCGAGGCCCGTGTTGTAAGTGATGTCAAGCGGCCTACCGCGCAAGAGCATCACCAAGATATAGTAGAGTTGGCAAGAAAGGTCCCGGTCTACATCCGAAAGAGCCCTGTTTGGGAAGCTCTTCTTGGAAAACTTCGCTTGCTCCAGCAGGTCGATGTACCTTGAGTCGATGCAGCTAAGGTAAGACTCAAAGATGAACGACCAGTCACTGAAGCTTTCCTCCGTGGACCCTTTGAAAACCTCGGGCTTCCCGAGTTGCCTGGTGTCTACCAGGCCGGCCCTTGGGGCCGGTGGATGGCTTGGGCCCGGCATGTCGGTATCGAAGGTGCTCTGCCTTCCCCGGGCTGCCAATCCTGACGCTTGCAGCTGCAACAGCTGGGCCTCCTGAGTCACCAGCCTGTTGTTCATTTGCTGCAGCATCAGGTTAGTTTGCTGCAACTGCTGCTGGAGCTGTTGCTCCAGCGGAACCTGGCCCGCCTGTTGGGCCATCTGGGGAGCTTGGGGGGTCCCAATCAACCCCGCTTCCATCTCCATCCGAGCTCTCACTGCTCTCCTCGTCCTCCGTCAGGAGAGGAGCTGATGTGGCCTTTGGTTTGGCCTTGCTCTTTCGAGCGGTCCCCTTTGGTCGGGGCTCGGTGCGGCGCCGATTGGCCTCCGCAACCCTTTGGGCCAATGCCTTAGGAGAAAACCTCCTAAGCACGTAGTTGCGCACAACCGGGGCGGCCTTGCGACGCCTGGTCCTGCAGGTACTGCAAGCTTCGCCGACCCGCTGCCTAAGCAATACCTCGCCCACACTGCCCTTAGGAAGCCTCTTCCTGATCGCCTCCTGGGTCTCCACTCTCTCTCGGAACCTCTGCTGCGCAAAGCGAGCGGATTGCTCGGTCAGGAACTCCTCTAAGTCCCTCTTGCGCCCCGAAGCCTGCTTGCTTCGCGTCGGCGCTACCGACCTCAGGACCCGATTTGCCTGAGCCTCCCGAGGAACCGATCGAAGATCGAGGCGGCTCCTGTCCTTCCTTCGTCGCCTCTCCTTCTTCCACTTGATCTTCTCGTACCCAGCCTCTGTCTGCCTGGGCTTCCTTGGTTGGCTCTTGGCCGCGGTCGTCCCGAGGATCCGGTCTCGCTCCTGAGCCTCCTCAAGGCTATAAGTTAGAACCACCCGCCTCGGAGTACGACCTCGGCCCCTTGCCTCAGCTGACCCCCGGGCCGAGGGATCAGCGGCTACCCTGTGGCTTCTTGGTGGCTCCTGCCGCTCCTCAGCGGCTGCAAGCCTTCTGGCTTGCCCGCGGTCCTGCCTCCTAGAGGTGGCCGCTTCACTTCTTTTCCCCCTCTTGTTCTTCTTCTTGGTCACCGGCTTTCCTTTGCCGCGACCTCGACCCGCCGTCTTGGCGGTCTTCCTGCTGCCTAAGCAGCACTCGGGAGGACTATGCTCCCACACCAGCGCGGATCGGCCCGCAGCTGGTTCCTGTGACGCGGGACTTCCCGCGGTCACGTGTGGTGCGGAGCTGACCCGCAACCACCAGGGAGCGGGGCTTGCCCGCGTCCCTTACCTTCGCGGGGCGACCCGCAGAAGGTGAGCACGGAGCCCCTTAGACGTCCGGCTCCGCTACCATGCAAGGGTTTAGGTTAACCCTCAAACCACACACACCGCAGGCACAGGCTACTTATTTTACTCACCTCGTGCCAAAAGGGGCTACCAAGTACAGCTATACAACGGCAGTAGTCAGAACATGCTTTATATCCTGACACTACCCCTAAACCCCCAAACCCAAACACTGAAATCCAAATCCTAACCAAACCTGGGGGCCCGCAACAATAGAATGGATCTTGGCATTTCAAATTTTCACGGCTCAAGGAGACTTCGGCATTCGCCTCTGCCCGGTCTTCTTATGTTTATGTGATCTTTTCGGCCATGAAGCGCATATACAATCTCTTTTTGATCTTGAATCGTGCCGTAGTCTTGCCCTCTTTCATTCTTCCCCCTGACCGAACCTCTACACACCCTAACACCAAAAGCTCTCACACGCTAAATCCTAAACCCAAAGCGAGCCCTCAACTGCTAGACCCTCAACCGCTAAACCCTTACCCCTCAAACCGCAAGACCACGAAACCCTAAACCCTAAACGCCTACAATCTGATGTATATAAACCTTGATGCTAAACCCCTGCCCCTCAAACCCCCAAACCTGAAGCCCTACAGTAGAAGCCTAAAAGTTGGAAACCCAATAGCCCCTATCCTTAAGAGTGATGTACAGGGAATGCCAGCACTATTTCGCCTTAATCCGGCTTCCAACTATTTGGGGTTTACTGTATACAAAGTACATCATAATATGGAACCCCCCTAACCACTCAACCCTAACCCGAAACTCAAAGGGGAAAAAGAGGGACTCTTAATGGGGCAACCCGAAACCCTTGCCCCTCACATGAAGCCCTAACGCCAAACCTGCCTGGCCTCCCACTTCTCCGGGGGATCTTTCCTTACCCAGGGCTCGAGGAACGGAGACACGGCGAAACGAGGGTTCGATACAGGGCCGTTCTGACCAGAAATATGGAGCCCTAAGGAAGAAGAATAATTGTGATGATTCAGGCTTCTACATTAGGGATTTAAGGCATGGGTGTCCGAGAACTTCGTTAGGATTTCGGGCTCAGGGCTCGTGCACACCTACGCCTGGAGGCTGAAGGACTTGGGATAGGGTTCTGAGGCTACAGCTCACACACTCGGTGGAACATACAGGCTGAACACTAAGTCCTGACACTACTTCCCTAGCAAAATCCCGACAGGATGTGCTGGAAAACCCTTATATACTAAGAGTCCTCGCATTAATCTAGGTAAAGAACACGAGCTTCGGGCCTTTATGGGGGGGGGGTAGTGCTTGCAGATTTACATTGAGGATTTAGAGTTTTTGGGCTTATCGGGTTTAGGGTTTAGGAGTTGTTGAGGGTCTAGAGTTTTTGGGGGGTTCAAAGCTTTAGGGGACTTGGGTTCAGGGCTTAGGGGTTGACCCCTTTCGAGTACAACTTTGAGAGCCACAGCTTCATGTCGAGCTCGACGATGTAGACAAGGGCGAAGGCATTCAAGACCTGGGTTCTTGTTAAGGAATCGAATTTGGGTTTAGGTGGTTTAGGGTTAAGGGTATACTAACTACGGAACTTAAACTATAGTGTTTAGGTGGCTTTGGGTTTAGGGTTTAGGGCTTCTAAGTTGCCATACTATGGAAACCATACCATCTACTATAGATTCCTATCATCATCATGGTAATTTAAACTAGGTTCCTGACCTCAGGGGCTGAACACCTCAGCCCAAAAAAGGTTAACCTCGTCAATTATGGTAGAATTCTATAAACCCCAGGAGGTTAAAGGTTACCTACTCATCTACTAAGCCCCCCCTATACAACCCCTAAAGAGCCCTTAACGGAACCCCTGACAGTACCCCGGACCCCTGAAAAGATCACCTACTCAGCCACCGAGCCCCCTACTTTACCCTAAGCTCTTATATAGATCCCTTAAAGGATCCCTCGTCGAACCGATTCAGGAACCCTTAAAAGGTTACCTACGCAGCTACAAAGCTTCCCAAGCCCGGAACCCTAAACCCTATAAACCTAAACCCTAAACTATAAACCAGCAGCTACTAGGTTGACAAGAGCCCAGCAGCAAAATCCACGAGACTGCCACGGCAAAGCCACAGGGGTAGCGTGTAGACAAGAATGGCCTGGGACTTCACCGGGGGCAAGGGTTTAGGGTTTGGGGTTAAGGGTTTATGGTGTAGGGTTTAGGGTTCAGGGCTTGAAACCCAGAATCAACATATGCAAGCCTAAACCCCTAAACCCCCGAAACTCTAAACGACCACACGCTAAAGCCGAGAACACACACAGCCTAGGACCTGTAACATCAAACCCTCAACCCCATGAAGCAGCCCTTACCATGGAACCCCTACCAGACCCCTTGTAGGAACCTTAGCGAGGAAGTTTCAGCCTTTGGAGTGTTCCAAAACCACCGGGTTCCGGGGTCTAAGCTCTAGCGGTTTAGGCTTTAGGGTTGAAGGTTGAAGCTTAAGGGTTTAGGGGAACCCGTACTGACTCATAGAGCCCTTCTAGAGACTTTATAAAACGTCTGGAAGATTGGTAGAACCCTTCCAAAGCCCCCGACCAGGTCTGATAGGCTCTGACGGCCAATGTGGGAGTTTCCGAAAATAGGGGACCCCAATTTCGTAGCCTAAATAGTAGGATCCTGGTTTTTAGGACCCCAAAATAAAGTACTCCCAATTTTCGGAAACCCCAATGTCAGCCAGGTAACTCTATAGAGACCATTGGAGATGTAAGACATGAAGAAGCGAGATTTGATCTCCCACATGCCTGAAGTCGATACTAGATGCCGTAGGACCATAGGATTTAGGTACAAGGCTGGAAAGCACATACAAACTCCTCCTCCTCCTCCTCCTCCTCCTCCTCCTCCTCCTCCTCCTCCTCCTCCTCCTACTGCTCCAGCTCCTCTGCGCTTCCCGTCCTGCTTCTGCTCCTGCTGCTCATGCTACGACCACCACCGCCACCACGACCACGACGATGTACTACATTGATTGCATCACAACACTACACCAATGCACAAAAACTATTACTCCTCCCAATCCTGCCTGTGCTACTACTCTTCCTACTACTCGCTACTGTTACGACGACGACTGATACTGTTGCTCCTGCTAAAGCTACCGCTACTGCCTGCTACTGCTGCTGCGGCGCGCCGGCACCTATCCCTACGAGTACGACGACTACTACGACTCTGATGCCGACTGCTGCGCCTGCGACCGCGACTTCTACTCCCACCCCGACTTTGACTGCGACTGCGGCTGTGACGAAGACTACGGCTGCTACTTTTGTCATCGTCAGCATTATGTATACAGTACTACCAACACCCAAGTACCTGCTGATGCTCACGCTTCTCGTGGTACTACTAGATTTCATCGCTACAACTTGCCGCAAATCTTCAGTGTTTGCCATACTCTGCCCCAGCCCCGCAGGCCCTCCCTTGCCAGGTCTACATGGGGCAGAAGCGCATCCGCATACCTGCATACATGTTAGGGTGTGGGGTGTGGCATATTGCAAAACCGCAGAAACATCCCTGATTCCTCAAAGCACGGCAGTTTTAAATGCCGAGAAAAGGTGCCCCACGGATCACGGGCACGCGCACGGTGACCGTCATCTTGCTGTTGTCCAAGTCTCATCCTAGTCACTGAGCCATCGCATGCCTGGATGCTTCTCTGAAAGTTTGGGTTGTTCAATCAAAGGCGTCCAGATGCGTCTAGAAGGGATGTCTATAGGGTATTCGAGCTGAAAGGGTTTAACTCCTTGGGTTAAGGGCTTCGGGTTGTAGGTTTTCAGATTCGGGGGCTTAGGCTTCAAGGTGAGGGCTTCAGACTACGAGGGGAACAGAAAGCCACTCCCCAACCCAGCCGGAGCCGCCAAGATGTGCAAGCTCCACATCTTCGAGTTGCTCCTTAGTGCTTAGGGGCTTAGTGTTTAGGGCTTCGGCTTCGGTGTTAAGGTTTAGTAGGGTTCAGTGTTTAGGGATCGGGGTTTAGTGTTTAAAGCTTTGGGCTTAGTGTTTAGGGCTTTGGGTTTAGGGTTTAGGGGTGCCCGAATTTAGGTTTTGGGGTCTATGCCAGCCAAAACACCGGGCCGGAGGCCCTGGACCCTAAAGTGGAACCCGAAAGCCCGCCACACCCCTGAACCCTGAACCCCATCCGGTAGGGGCCCGAATAATGGCAAAGATCTCCGTATTCTTACAGAACTCTTATGAAAGAACCCTTCTCGAAACCCTTATTCCAACTACGACTTGCCCTAAACCCTGAACCCTAAACCCGTGCTCCTTGCCAGCCACAGCTCGGTGTGGTCATGCAACATGCCCAGCGCATCCAGCGAACGATCGGCTTGTGCAGCCTTTGTCACTGTGAGGTCTGTGAGCGTTTAGGGGTTTAGGGTTTAGGGGTAGGGTCTAGGCGTGTTGCACCTAACGTTGACCGCTGATTAACAACCTCATTACGATAGGCTTTGGGGGTATATCATAGACTAAACCTTATATTATATGAGAAACCCCAAGGGAATCGCATTTGCAAGTATGAAGGCCTCCATACTCTACTTTTTGAGATTCTGCAAAAGAAACCTCCCACCATGGGCCAAAAGCCGGGGGCTTCCCCTCATGACAGGTATCCCCTCATCGCCGTCCCCACTTGGAGGTTCATGGGTAGTTATAAGGGTTCCTTTAAGGGGTCCCTTTAAAGGGATCTATGGAGGCTTAGGGTTTAGGGTTTTAGGGTCTAGGGTAGTTGTAAGTGGTGTTATAAGTCCCCTAATGAAGGTTATAAGTATAGTTACTTTACTTATAGCCCCACTTATAACTACCCATGAACCTCCAAGCAGGGTCTAGGGTTTTGGTTCCATGGTCAGCTCTAAGCCCTAGCCCTAAACCCTAAAACCCTAAACCCTAAACCCTAAAACCCTAAAACCCTAAACCCTAAAACCCTAAAACCCTAAAACCCTAAACCCTAAACCCTAAAATCCAAAAACCCTAAACCCTAAACCCCAAAATCCAAAAACCCTAAACCCCAGACCCTAAGCTCGGGGCGCCTTCTTCGCGGTTCCTGGGCCTGGGCGACAATTCCGAATCCCATCTGGCTGCACACAGACTTGCCTGGGTCGTTGGGGCTTTAGGGTTTAGGGTTTAGGGTTTAGGGTTTTAGGGTTTAGGGTTTAGGGTTTAGGGTTTTAGGGTTTAGGGTTTAGGGTTTTAGGGTTTAGGGTTTGGAGCTTTTGGGTTGATTTAAGGCCTCCTAGAAGGATCCATCAAGTTGTCAAAGTTTCCATAGAAGTTTCAGGGCGTTGAGTTCATATAGGGTTCAAAAGCACATCGGTTCGATTGAGGATCCTGGATGTTCAACCTTCATAGAGCAACTTTTTTACCGAAGACCCCCGCCGAGTCGCTTGCATCCCACATGGCCTTGCGGGCAGCGTCGAAGGCCTTGCGAACGGCTTTCCTGTCTTGGCGGATCTCTTCTTGCACCGTGCGGTCATCGAGGGTGATTCTGACCTGAACCAACAACGATCCCAGCCACAGCCTGAGCCGCTCTTTGCAAGCCCAATATAAGCCACAGAAACATAAGGATAAACTTTCCCATTCCTTTAAACTATAACAGAAAGATAAGGTTAAACGTTTCCAGTTCTACTAAACTATGAGAGAAACCGAGATCTCCCATTCCTACTAAACTCTAAGAACCCGAAACGTGGTATTGGGGATCTCAGTTCTTTGCAAGCCCATCAACATCACACAACATTTGCTCTTTCCTCTTTCTGCAGAAGACACTGCACTACCACAAAGATGATTTCAAGAACGGCCCAGCAACCCCGTCTTCTTGGGATTCATTTCCAGGGGTTGCATGACGATGCCAAGGTAGATGACCATCAGGAGGCTCACCAGCAAAAAGACGCAAAAGCAACCTGCAAGGTGGCATTCCTGAGCTGGTTGCGGTTTAGGGTTTTATGGTTTAGGGTTTTAAGGTTTAGGGTTTAGGGCTTAGGGCGCGTAGAGGTTCTTTTAGGGCCTTACTTGGGTTCCATTAGGGTGTGTTTACAGGGAAGAAAACAGGTGCCCTTTTTGGTTTAAAGGGTGTTATAAGGGAACCTGAACCCTAAAAAAGGGAATAAGGGCTTATTCTGGGTCCTAGGCTGCAAGTTTTAAGGGTACTGCAGGATTTAGTCCCGAGGCAACAGTAAAACCCTGAACCCTCTACCAGATCCACGTGCCACACCGGAGCTGAAAACTCGAATTCAAAAGCGGCCGAGGTTCCGGGTCTTGGTATCTGCATCTTGCTTCCGCTGGGACCTGGCGACAGAAAGACAAGTTCAAATTTTATCTTAAACCCCAAACCCCCAAACCCTGAACCCCAAACCCTTGGCAACTGGAACTTGGTGGCCCGGAGCTGTTAGCCTCCAAGCCGGCCTTCCAATTTCGCTCCGCCTCAATAGAAAATTGCATGCCCATGGTAAGCCTGTGAGTACCCATATTCGGAGATTTTTTGGCATTTCCAGCACGGCCTTGAAACCCTAGTATAGGAGACTAGGGTGTTGGGGACCGTTACACCATCGCTATACTTCATAAGGACCACCCCCCTCAAAAAAACAAAATAGTATTATAGGAAATTTTTAGCCACTATATTAAACCCTAAACTTCCAAGCAAGGCAGACCTCTTTGGAACCCTAAGCCCAAACCTTAAACCTTAAACCCTATACCCAAACCCTAAACATTAAACCCTCAAATTTCAAGCAGGGCAGACCCTCTGCTCGACCCCGCGGAGGATGTTGGAGGCTCTTTCGCGTGCCCTGCGCCAGTCGACGGCGATGCAGAGCCACACGGCAATGAAACAAAGCCAGACCTAAGATGGCGGGACAAATCGTTTTAAGATTTATTTAGGCTTGGGGCTTAGGGTTTAGGAATCAAGGATCAGGGATTAGGGCTTGGGATTTGGGTTTTTGGTTCTCGGATTTAGGGCAGTAAGATCGTCTGAGACAGGAAAGAAACATGCATGACACATCTCAATGACCTGGCCGAGAAGCAATGAACTTCGTTGCCAAAGGAAGAGGATTCCACTTGCTGATTGGGGGAACCGAGAGCAAGCCTACTTGTTGCTGCACAGCGATGGCAATGATGGGAGGCAGCGCAACAACTGCGGTGTTGAGGATCAGTAGCCAAAGCACCCTGAAAAAGATGTCGATGCCCTGGAGTGTCAGGCATCCTTCACCGGAGCTTTGACAGCAGCTGGACAGCATGAAACACAACACCACGGTGATGAGCATGCCGGCCACGGCAAGCCAAGCTAGCCAATGTATGTGCAAAGAGGCTGACACAGCTACGTCTGCGAGCCAAGCTGGAAGAGGCCATGTTGGTGGCAAAAAGGCCGAACTCAAATAGGCGAACTGATGCTCGTACTTCTGGTACCACTGATGCTCCACTGTACGCCTCAGGTAGCCTGCATGATCATAGTTGAGCTTCGCCGCCGCAAGCATCTCTGCATTCCAGCCGTACTCGTTGACGGTCGTAAGCGGCGCCTCCATCCTTATCTCAACAGATACATGTGACAAGAAAGAGATACCCATAAGAAAAATGGTCACCCGGCCGTGGCCACCACATCAGCGGAAGCGATCGTGATGATGTCACCATGCGGCCCACTTCAGACATAGCTCTCAACGACGAAACGCAACAAGCAAACTGAAGCAACCCGACACAAATGGGAGTTTCCGAAAATAGGGGTACCTTATTTTGGGGTCCTTATAATAAGGATCCTACTATATAGGGTACTATATTAGGGTCCTCTCTTTTCGGAAACTCCCAAATGAAGCATCGGGTAGCATGCCATCCCTGCAGCAGTGAAGGAGGCTGTAGTAGTCGTCGTCATCGTGAAAGTAGTAGCGGTAGTGGTCGCGGCAACGGCAGCAGTATATAGCAGTAGCGGGAGTGCAGTATGGATGGTAGGTGAAGCATGAAGGCAGGAAGTCGTTGTAGCCGCGACAGCAGAGCACGAAAGCAAAGTACCAGTAGAATGGCACACCACCAAAGTGTGTTGAAATTCCGGGAGTCGGCAACACGGCGATGCAACGGCTTGGGTCACAACAACACGACCTAAAACCTCCGAGAAGCCTGTGAGCCCATGACTATGACAAGAGCAAAGCATCATTGTGTAGAGTCGAACCAGTTCCGGGAAATTGATGACGGCTGCATCATGGTCACTGCCATCCTTTCACGGCCGAAGACACGAGGGTTCAGTTCATATTTGGGTATATACTAGGACCGGATGGTGACCGGGGAAAATGGACCATACGTTTACATACTCATACGTGTATATGTACATATGGAGACTTGGGTATCGTTGTTACGTAGCAGAGATCCAGCAGACACAAAACTACACAAACATACCACTGAACAACCTGATACAGGGTTTCTTGGGGCTTGCTATGACGCGACGGGCTCGATGCCAACGAGCGCGAACATGCAAGGTGCACTAGGCTTTAAGAAAGAAGGCAGAAGCTGTCATCAACTACACCCTGAAACATAAACTCTCAGCCCCACAGCCTGAACACAACGAACGAACCCTGGCCCCTGACTCTCCAGAAGCTCTTGGATCCAAAGTGTTGCTTATCCCAGGCCTCTGCTGCGAGCATCAGCACTGTCTTCTGATTGAAGAGGCCAGTAAGTGTGAATGAGTCCGGGGCCTGTGCCCCAATCCACACCACTCCATCCATGTTCTCAGTCTTGCGAAGTTTGCAGAGAGGAGTTCAGTTCAGGGCTTAGTCATTCAGGCTTCACACACCAAAAGCCAAAGCAAAAACATAGAATGCTCCGTTGATGGGAAAGCTCTCAACCTTGGCTCGACTCCTCATTTTCGTCACGACCGACATCAACTGTCAGTAAGCTTGAACTTGTTTGCAAAACCTGAAACTCTTGAATACTAAGCACCCCTCAGCCTGAACCATACTTAGAGGATCATGGGACTTAGTAAGTAGGTTATAATTGGGGTTATAAGTCCCCTAAGTGGGGTTATCCTAATTATATCCTACTTATAACCTTACTTACTAAGTCCCATGAGCCTTCAAGTACTATCCAAGCAGCATTACCTCCGCACGCAAGGCTTTGGCGCAACTCGGCAATTCGATCCCAGCTAAGGTGGACCGCATCCCGCACCAAATCGTGCAAAACCGTCCTGGTGGGATCTGGATGTACTGTGCAGGGTCTACTTGGAGGCACCAAACCCAATGGCTTAGCCCGCTGAACTCTATACCCGAACAACTGCATGCACACACGACACATTGGCAGAACACAAGAAAGAAACCGAGAACGTTCACACTCCTTGCGAAGGCATCTCGAACCATACTTCTGTAGCCATTGTCTGGTCGGACCACATGGCAGACCTCAAAGTGTCAGTAGGGTTAAGGTGTAGGATGTAAGCATCTAGCGTTTAGGGTTCGGGTTAAGAGCTAGCGGCTATGAGGCTTCCGTTTGGATTTCGCAAGGGTGTTGGATTCAATGCTTGTTAGGTTTTGGCCATGGGCAGTTATAGGTCGGGTTACAACTCCGCTACATGACAAGGGCTATATGAGTTATATTATAACTACCCATTATGTGTAGATACCTTACTTGTAACCCCACCTTTAACTATAACTACCCATGAAGCCCCAAGTAGATTTGGTCATGTGGGGTTCCAGTAGCTTCTGAGGGGCTCAGGCTGCCGTTGAGGCTTTATAGGGCTTAGGAGCTTAGGGTTTAGGGGTTAGGGCTTAGGGTTTAGGGTTTAGGTTCAGGCTTGGGCATGCTGAGGCTCAGTCTGGGGGCATGATACTACCACTACGATTTTGGGGGGTTCCTCAAAAGTTAGACACAGTATAACCCCCGAAACACCTGTTCTAATCAGTAAGGCCCTCATACCATCCAACCAATAGTGGAACTCTGATAGATCCCTTACAGGATCCCTTTAAAGGAACCCCAAACCTATCCGAATCAGTAAGGCAGCTATGGTGGGGTTGCGGCCTTTTGCGCTTGAAGGCTTGGGTTCAAGATTCGAATGGAAGGTATGTTTTTGGACGGTCAAAACGAAGGTTTGGGTTTAGGGTTTAGCTTTTTGGGTTTAGGGTTTAGGGTCTGCGACAAGACTGCCCTGAACCGTAAACACTAGAATTCCTGAAATCTAGACCGCGTTGAAAGGCATGGATGCTGGTAGCTTTAGAACGCACTATCCACATGTGGACCCTAAATAATGCGACCCATAAAGCACAAGTACCCCAGCAAGCGAAATGGGATCCCCCAGTACAAACAACAACACATATTCTGGGATGCATCGTTCGGAGGACCGGGAACCCTGAACCCTGAACTTTACATACCCTCCTTGCAAGGTACTTCTGGGAGATCTCTGTGCAAAAAACACAAACAAAAAAAGTCTGATGAAAGTCAGCAAGAGACCAGATCACTGCTCCCCCAAAGGAAACCACTCCTCAGCTACCAAGAGGGTCCAATCTATCACACTGTATTACGGCAGTTTTCTGTACGTCACAATAAAGAAAGCCCCTTATGTAACAGGAACATCACGACTTGAGGGGGCTGTTTGGTTGTGTAGCTTGCACGGGTGCGTTATTCTGGGTCAGTGCAGATCAAGATTTTGGGGTGTGGCGCTTTTGGGATCTTTGAGGTTTTTGCTTCCCCGGGGTTGTGGGGTTTAGGGCTTAGGGTTCAGCGTTGGGGTTTACGGTTTAGAGTTTAGGGTTAGGGTTTAAGGTTTGGGGTTCAGGGGTTAATTTAGTTGCAGGGTTTAGGGTAGTTTCGAAAAGCTTGAGCGCTTTACTTGAAGGACTGGGTTTACTTTGGGGTAGCTGCAGCCTCAAACCACAGTAGAACCCTCTAAGCAGCAGGTTCTTAAACCCACAGGTCGGGTTTAGGGGTCCGAGTTCTTTGTTGGCTTTTCAATCCAAGGGCTGCTGAAGTTGATGAAGGGTCTTCGTAGCGTAAGGGGTTGAGTGGTCTGAATATGACAATATAGGGCCTGCATAGCTTCAACAGGGTTCTGAGTCTAGTGATTATCGTCGTACAACTACCAAAAACTACGTGGTATACGGGATACTGCTACTGAAATTACTCCGACTCCAACGTTTGTTTTAAGCCCAACTTCGGATCAGGGTCTGGGGCTATAGGGTTGAAATACTTCAACGAGGTCCCGGGGAGTTGGGGTGTTCGTCCTCCCTTGGGAGGGCACTACAAGAAGTTCATTCAAGGGTTTAGGGTTTAGGGTACTTAACCAAGTCCCGGAATGGTAGAAACAGGCTACTACCAACCCCCCAACCCAGACATCAAAACGGATGATCAACACAGAAAAGATCTCGAGAAACCCGTGCAGGAGCCGCTACTATTTGAAAAAGGGAATAAGAGAGCTAAGATCTATAGTTAGAAACCTGAGTTATGAGATCAAAACCTACAAAGCCTACCGTAGGCCGGCCCGGTCACTCAAGCAAAAGCCGAATGATTTGGATGCGATCTTCCAGGTCTCCCCCATGTTGCTGTGCATGCTCGGCATTCCTGCTGGGCACTTGCCCTAAACCCCAAACCCTAACCCTGAACCCTGCTTACACGGTTCTTAGCACTTCGGAAAGCCGGATCTACTGCTACACAGTGTCTAGTTTGGGTTTGGGTCAAGGTTCCTAGACACCAAGAGGCCCCTACCCACAGAAGCCCCAAGAAGCGCTAAACCCTAAACCCTAATCCCATAAACCCTACGCCCTAAACCCCCTCAACCCTAAACCCTAAACCCTAATCCCATAAACCCTACGCCCTAAACCCCCTCAACCCTAAACCCTAATCCCATACCGGCCAAGGGACCACTCCAGAAAGTTCATGAGGATCCTCTCGTTGGCGTGTCGCGTCATGTGCAAAGCCAACTCGAGGATGGTCAAGGAGAGCTTCTCCTTCGGGCTAAGGGTTTAGAGTGTGGGGTTTAGGGTTTTCAGGGTTTTAGGGGTTTTCAGGGTTTTGGAGATTTTAGGTGTTTAGGGTATAGGGTTGGGTTTCAGGGGCTTAGGGTTTAGGGTTTAGGGGCTCTGGTTCGGGTGTAGGGCTCCAAGAGCGTCTCCGGGTTCAGGATTTTCGTTTGGGGCTGGGGTTCTCAACCGTGCTTTTGAAACCAGGGTTTAGGGTTTAGGGTTTTTGATACAGACCGCAACGAAGAATACAGTCTGCGAGCAAAACTGCCAAGGCTCCTTCTTCCGCGACTGAAGATGCCGGTCATAAAAGGGCTCTTCGTACGTCACGCGGTGACGTGCCATGTAGTCCAAGTCGCTGCAGGACATCTCAGGATAAGCTCGGTCGCATGAGCTGAAGTTCACGTTGTGCAAGTACGCATCGCCAAGGTCGCAAGAGGACAGACCTACAAGAAGGTGCCGCAGAGCCTGGGCCATCCATGTTTTAGGGGTGAGCAAAAAAGTCCCATCAATCCAAAAACCCAACACCACAAATCCCCAACACCGTTATAAAGCCCCAAAACCCTTCAACCATAAAAACCCTAAGATGCGCAAATTCCTGAAACCTGAGTGCAGCATAGTGTCCGCAGCATTGCCATCCACAATTAGCTGCTTCCTAAGTGTCACCAGTATCCCCTGAAAAAGCCTAGGGCTTAGAACTCTTAGGCTATAGGGTTGCAACCGTTGAGCTGGCGATTTAGGGTTGAGGGTTTAGGGTAGGAAGTGTGGCAGGCTTCCGATGAAATCTGGAGGAAAAACCTTTGAGATTCATCATATCGGGGTTAGAGGACCCGAGAAGGTCAAAAGTTACTTGGTCTTCTAGATCCCGATCAAAACTGAAAGTTCATGCAGGAACCTGATCAAGAAACCGTGGTTCTACAACCCAAAAATATTGGGATCCCTATCAAAAAACCTAGTAAGGGTCCAAGTTGTCTTAAAATCAAGCTCCGAAAACAACTTGTGGGATTATGCAGAGGCTAGAGTACTTCAAAAATAAATGCTACTTACTCTGCTACTAAGTTAGAGTACTTCAAAATTGAAGGTTACTTACCCTACTAAGGAAATGTTACTATCGGAGCCCAGCTTCATCCTGCCCAGCACCTGGTCAAGCGCGGCAGTGTCCCGGTGATGCTTGCACTCTGTGTGGGCGCCTGACACGGCTCGAGGGCTTTCGGGCTTTGGGGCTTAGGGCTTATAGGGTTTAGGGTCTAGGGTTCAGGGTTTGGGGTTTAGGGCTTAGGGTGGACGCGGTTTGGGCAAGGTTTCTGAACCTTGAACCTGGCCGGAGACCCTAAAGCACTGCACTCCAAACTCCAAAACCCTTTTTGAACCCTACCGAACCTTCCTCGATGAAGCTCGAAAATCCTGAGCCGGAAAAACCTACACCCCAAAAACCCTTCTAGAAAGCGTCCCATAGATGCCAGAGATCTTCGATGAAACCCGGAAGTTTCCAGGAAGGCTTCTGGCTACAGCCATCAGGGTTCCCAGAGACTCCAAAAACGTATCCTTAAGGGAGGGGGGTCCAAGGGGGGTATATAGCCTAGTGATCCCTAATTCTCCCTAGTACTCCCTAAGGTTCCCTTACAGTCCCCTAAGGATTCCTTATACCCCCCTCCCCCCTTGAACCACCCTCCCTTAAGGATCCTATAAAAAAAACCCTCAATTCAGGATTATGCCTTAAACTATTGGGGCGTGGGGTTTAGGATGCCTTAAAACTATTCGGGCACCCTTATGATGTTTGAATATACAAGGGGCTTTTTGTTTGAAGTTTCAAGATTAAAAGACGTTGGACTTTGGCGACCCTGAATCAAAGGGGAAAAGGAGGGACCCTCAAAAAGGGGACCCCTACCCTATAACGGGCTAAATAATGGGTATATAATAGCTATATGAAGGGTATATACCTAGGGCTCCTTATTAAAGGTCCCTCCTTTTACCCTTGGAGTAATGTAGGAACCTGATTAAGAAACCCTGGGCCTATAACCCCAAAGTAGTAAGATTCATTTCAGGAGCTCTTAATAGGTCCTTATTAAGGGTCCCTCCTTTTACCCCTTGACTGAACCCCTAGCTCAAGCAGCAGTCCGTCCGAGCTCGCCTTCCGTCTTGGATGCTTTCACCTCTGGCTCCTTCACCTGGGCTTAGGGTTTAGGGTTTAGGGTTTAGGCCCTAAAAGCTAAACCCTAAAGCCTAAAGCCTAAACCCCAAAACCTGGACTCTAAACCCTAAACCCTGAACCCTAAACACCTAAATCCGAAACTCCCAGAGCTGCTGAACAGCCCTAGAACCCTGCAAACCCCTAAGAACTGCACCCTAAGGCCCTGAGTCCTCAGAGGGCCCTACACTCTAAGCCCTGAATCTTAAGCCTTTGATCCAAAGCTCATCGCTTCAATTCTTAACGCTTCCGGTGGCGGGGTGGGTCGGAAGACAGATGAGGAATTCAGAAATCAGGGCAACTTTTTTTCGGGGCTCCTGTCAACAAGCATCCGGCAAGTTAGGCTTCGGTCGGTCTCTTCGCAATCCTCGGGTCTGCGTAGGGTGGTAGAACCTAGAAGAAACAAAGTGGGATAAGGCCCCTCCTTCGTCCCTTGCTGAGGGGTTCCCGAAACCCGAGGTGGCACCTTCGTCATCGGTGGCGTTGTGACGACTTGCGCTGGCAAGGCGATAAGACTCACAGGCATTACCTGCTTGAGGTGTTGGGGTTTGTATCTTACTTGAAGGTTCGTAGGTAGTTATGAGTGGGGCTACAAGTCCCCTAATATGGGTTATATTAATACTTACCTTAAATGCAATCCCACTTATAACTACCCATGAACCTCTAAGTAGGCCCTAAACCCTGTACCCTTGTAGAATCCCTATAGATCCCTTTAAAGGGACCCCTAAAGGAACCCTTCTAACTACCCATGAACCTCCGAGTGCCCCGCGAGGCTGAAGGCTCTCAAGGGCTCGGGAAGTTAGGGCCTACAGGGTTTAGGGTTTAGGGTTTAGGGTTTAGGGTAGGGAACTCCAGAAAGTTGGAATATGGTTTCAGGGTAGGATCCCCTATAATTTACCATAGAAGGGTTAGGATAATCATATTCCAACTTTCTGGCTTTTCCCTTAGAGGCTTCGAGCCTTTGTAGTAGAAGCCCAATAGCCTCAATCCTTAGGGGTTAGGGATTAGGGGTTGGGGTTTAAGGCTTAGGGGGAGGGCAGGGCCTATAGCAATAATGTATAGGGAATCCCAGCACTCTTTGGCAATAATTCGCTTTCCAACTGTAAACCCTAAACCCTAAACCCTAAACCCTAAACCCTGAACCCTAAACCCCTAAACCGTTTACTGTGTAGCTTGGGCCTTGGGGCTCAAAAGTGGAGTTTGCTTCGGTGTGGCTTGCCAGTTGTCATGGTTTAGGGTTTAGGATTTAAGATTTAGGAGGATTTAGGGGTTTAGGAGTTAGGATGGACCAAGAATCTGGATTATCTCAACCATCGGTATGACATACGTCTCATGTCGGAGAATGCAGAGGAGTTTGTCCATCAGCAGCCTTCGTCGGGCCGTGAAGTGCAGTAATTCAGCACCGCTTCCTAAATGCCAGGCATGACATAATTAGTACAAGTAGAATTCTAACAAGGCTCCTCAAATTCGAACGGGGCTCCTTAACAAAACAGTATGGTACGCCCTGGCGGCGTGTGTTTTCGAGGTTGCAGGTTTCAGTCGTTTTCAGGATGTTGACTTTGTTCTTCTCCATTGCATGCTTCTAGGTAGGCCTTTCGTTGTGCTGGCAATGTTATTCTCTACTGTATGCCTGTAGGTATGTCTTTCGTATGAGCGTTTCTATCTTGTGAGCTACGTGTTTGCTGCAGTACGAAGTTACAATATAATACTCCATGTACGGCTGCTCAGGCCGAGCTAGAAGGGCCCCTGGTGGGGGGGGGGGGGGGGGGAAAAAAAAAAAAAAAAAATAATAATAATAATAATAATAATATATATCCTTAATTTTTAATTTTTTTTTTTTTTTTTTGGCGCCCCCCCCCCCCCCCTCCCCAAGAAACCCCTGTCATGCCCGGCAAATCCTTGTATCCGAGCTGTTGTATCCTCACATATACCCTAAATAATAGCGTTTCAGGTCGCGACCTCAACTTCAGCGTTGGCGGTGCTTGGCTTTTTTATCCGTATATGTACTGCACTTACCGTAAGCTTACACATATTTGCCGCAGAATTTTCCTATTATCCATCGAGTTCCTATCTCACGCGCGCGCCATGGTTCGTACGAAATGCTCTGGATGTCAGAAGTGGGGGCGGGATCGCTGCACCTGCCCGCCGAAGCCGAAGTCCAGTGAGTCTCCGAAGCCACAGTCACCGCATAGGCAGCCGACATCTTTCCCTAGCCGAACGCGGCCTACTTCATCAAAGGCATCCCGTCCGTCTAATAAACCGTCGACTCCACGGAAAAGTTCCACAGCTACGGAGCTCGAGTTGGAGCGCACTCGTGTAGAACGGTTGCGGCTGGAGAGTGAGAAAGCTACAAGAAAGAGAGCACGTAAAGCCGAGAGAGAGGAAATCGCCGCGCGTGTCGCCAAGACCAAGTATTGGAGCGGGGGGCGTTGGTCGTCTAAAGGACGCAACGAATCCTGGTCGAATACTTTTTGGTCTCAGCACAGTTGGTTCTCCAAAGGAGAAGAGCCAAACTGGAAGCGCAGCCGCTGCAGCGCAGTAGCCTTTCCCGAGTCAACTTTTCCGCCTCCTGGTCTCATGTGGGATGAGGCCGAGTTGAGTGCATATAATGATGGCTGCAACTAGTTACGCTTGCGAGCAAAGGCAGAAAAATCTGTCGGTCAGTATGCACTGTGACGGCAATCTAGGCGTATGACGATGTGTACATTACTGTTACATGTTCTAGTTTACAAAGCCGAGGAGAGACAGAAGCCAAGGACAGGGGACAGAGAGGGACAAAGGGGGACAGACGGGGAACAGAAGAGGACAAAGGGGACAAAGGGGGACAAAGGGGGACAAAGGGGGACAAAGGGGGACAGAGGGGGACAAAGGGGGACAAAGGGGACAAGGGGCGAAGGGGACAGACACGAAACAAGAGAATAGGAACTGAGGGAACAATAGAGACAAGGTACAGGGCTCACGATGAGGAAGAGGATGTACAGCAGCAATAGGAAGGCTCTAATACGGCATTGTACATATGCACGTCTTTTTCTCACAGGAAGGTAATTCTTCACGAAGGATGCCCTTCTGCATCATGCTTTTCTTGCTACTGGAAGGTCATCCATCTTCTTCCTGATCATCCGTCTATTTGTCTTCGACTCAGCTCAGTCTCTTGTCGCATACCAACGACCTGGCATGTCCGTGTAGTATCGTAGCCTATGCATGGACATTCCATCCTTGTTGTCTGTTAATGCCTCAGCATTTCTCGAGCTTTCAAGCTACAACTTCATTCGCGCGTCCCTTGTCGTCAGTGCTGACATGTCCAATTCTTTGGAGAGTCAGTTGGAACATCTCATGCAGGAGGAGTATCCTCACATGGCGGGGTCTTCTCCTTCACCTCGTCCAGCGAAACGTCTCAGAGGTGCAAATCTGTTGGGGTCTCAGACGCAGATATCCCATGCAATGTTATGCAGGTCCGAGCATATATCTGTGTACTTCTTACTTTGTGTCATGATGAGGTTTCGCGCCTTCTCTGATTTGGAGATCGACCCTCCTGCCCCACATATCTTGGCGCCGGCACCCGTCAACCCGAACGCGATCACAATGCCAGCCATGTACGAGCACTACATGCAGTGGGGTCGTAACTCCTTTCCGGACTTCGCACCGGAGACCTGCAAACTCGTGTCCATTGCCAACTACATCTGTGACATGGATGCCGCAAACTATTGCATGTCTAACAAACAGAAGCTTATGTTGGCTATGTTGATTGATGGCCATAACTGGAGGGCTCATTGTCGACAAGCTTTTCGGTACGAGGACGGTGCTTGGGTTCGCTGTGAGAACTTGTCCATCGATGCATGGGATTTGCTGATGGCCTTGGAGGGCTTGTTTGTTCAAGTCTCTCTGGACTTGGCGGCGGCAGAGCGAGAGTCCCAATGGAGTTGGGAAGCCGCCGGCGCCGAAGTGCTCAATGTGATTCGACATCTTCTTCAACAGTCCGTGGATGTGATTAAAGAGCTATGTGGCGTCGCCAAGGCTAACAGTGATCATCTTCGCAAAGCTACAGGAAACAAGGCGTGGCATGCCAAATGGTCTCGCCGTGTCGCCGATATGCTCGCTCAATATCGGAAGACCTGGGAAAGCGAAATCTCCTCAAAGCCTCTAACAAAGTTGTTTCTCTTGGAGTGGGATACACCTATGCCTAGATCGACAGGCGTCTGTTTCACGGACGTGTACCTCGACGAGAATTGGGATGTGGCTCCGAAAGCACGTGATCGGAATTGCTACTTGAAACTGAACTACCGCTACCTGTATGAACATGTGATCGCACAGAACCCCAACATTGATGTCAACAACTTCCGTATCAGGCTTCGTCTCTTCCTCGAGTCTCTGTATTACAAGAACGAACATGGATTCCAAATCAAGTTGTGCTTCCTCCACGCAGCCTTCAAGCGAGTATGCACTTCCAAAATGATCTTCCAGATCGGCAAAGGTGGCGATGGTAAAGGAATGGAGGCAATATTGGATCGCACCTTGTTCGGGGACCTTGCTTCCTCCACATTGGATTGTGGGGTCTTCTTGGACCGGTCGGAATTCCGCAAATCTGCGGAGTTGGCATGGAACATGGCCAATGTTCGCATCCAAGAGATGGATCATAAGTCTTCCTTCCATGCCGACCTATGGAAGCGATTCGTAGTTGACGAAGACATCGACTGTCGGGTCAACTACGGCTTCACCACTAAGCGCAAATTTGGTGAGAGCTTGAAGGTGCAGGAGTTAAATTATGACAACATACCCACAATTGAGGAAGCTCGCGATCGCAACAAATGCTGCCAGCAGCTGGAGAGACGTATCGTGTGTCTTCGCATGGGGAAGGGGAAACTCGTCAGTGATGTCAATGAGGTGGACACAGACAACGGCGTCTTCCTGTTGATTCCACAGGACGAACTATCTGCTTTCCTATCACATGAGATAACGGCCGCCCTGTTCCTACGGGAATACTGCATTCCGTTCTTCCAGGAAACGTCGTTAGCAGAGTCTTTGAGAATGATCAACGACCTCGCCGGTGTTCATGCCGATCTTGTTCGTGATACCAAGTGGCTAGCTTCACGCCTTGCGGGCGGCAATGCTCCGCCTCCTGGAGACGAGACGGATGATGTGAATGAGTTCAATAGACTAGTCATTGCTGCTCATTCGCAGACGCCCTGGAAAAGAGTGTTGAAGGAGTACCTCATCCACAAGATTGAGGCTTTGCCAGGAGCCATATACTCGTCGAAAGGAAAGCGGACTAAACTTTCTTATCTTATCGAGGCCGTGGACAACGCTGACGTGATCCTCTTGAAGCAAGTGGATCATGGTTGTTTCCACAAGCTCCTTCTGGATTGGACAAAACTACAGGTGGCCATGGACAATCACGGCGGCATCGACAAGTACGGGTCCTGGACGGAATGGGGCGATCCCTTTGACTTGCTGCACACGCAGGAGAAGTGGACAGGGGCAGCCTTCCACCATGACGCACAAATTATCCGACAAAACAAAACTATCGTCGAAGATCTCAGTGCGCTCGGGCGTAATAGTGAACTCCGCTTGCAGGAGAAAGTGAATTTGACTGCGCTCATCGCCTACGCGCAAGCTGGCAATGATCGTCGTCCAGATCTCCTGGAAGCTTACATTGCTCGGCATCGTCGAGACGGATTGGTTAATGGAGACTTCTCCAGCATTGACATCGCCTACTACAGACGACCTCATTATGGACGCTTGTTGTCGCGAGGACCTTCTGGTCAAAAGCTCACGCGTGAAGCAAGGTTCATTGCCTTCGGCTCTCACTGCGCCGAAGTCGACGCTCCTTCGTGCCATCCTCGTCTATTAGTTTCGAAGCTGCGCGAATCTGCACTTTGGGATGAGGACAAGTTCCCCATGCTGAACAAGGTCGTGCAGTTCTACAAACAGTGGAGAGAATCTCTGGCACAGTATTCGGAGTGTACCGTTGGGGAAGCGAAGGTAGAGCTTATTCGCATTTTCTACGGTGGCCGGCCTTCCGTTGAAATCCCATATTTGCTCAAGCTTTGTGACGAGGTACAGCGTGCCGCTATGCTGTTACTGAAGATGCCGACTGCCAGAGTATTCGCTGATCTTTATGAAGATCGTCCTAATCCAGAGTTCAGTCGGCTCTCAGCTCTCCTGTCTTTTGAGGAGGCGAAGCTCATGCACATCATGTCAGAGCACATGGGAGACTCTGTGCAAATGCTGCTCTTCGATGGGTGCTATGTTGAATGCGACAGTCTTGCTGCAGAGTTGGATGTCGTCGAAGCGTGTCGGGCATGTGAAGCGAGTGTGATTCCCATGGCCATCAAGTCGTGGCCTTCCGGCACGGAGCTGTCAAGCATAGCAAGGCTGTTGATTCGCAAGGATCTTGGACTTTGGAGTATCTGCCGGGCTAGCTTGCAAGGGCCAACCTCGTCTTGCTTGCACTACGTGATTGCTGTGCTCCAGCCTGACTGCGACACTGACCTCTTGGAGGTTACGGAAGATGAAGGTGATATCTCCGCTAGGGAATTCAACGAGCACATGAGGTACAGTTCGCAGCGCGCTCCGCAAGACGCATACCGCATGATCTACATGGAGGAAGTGGATCTGAGCGAGGTGAATACCCTCAACGGTAACCTCATTGTCCATCAAGCAGCTCCAGGTGGTGGACATTGGAGTGGCATCCGATTCCTGGGCGACTCGACAGTATGTGTCGTGGATTCTGAGTCTAGCGGGCGTCATTTGCACACCACCTTCCAGATCCTGTCTCAGATTGTGTCCTCCATGGAGAATCTGTCTTGGTTTCGTCTTCAGACGCTTACCCACGATGTTGCTCTGGATCATCACGCAGCCTATGACCTTCGTGGATCAGGACCTTGCAAACGACCTGCGTCGCAAGCCTCAATCACAATGAAAGTGGATGTACACTGTCCAGATAGACTGGTGCTATCCTCACCCCTGCAGACGTGCTTGGAGTGTGGTGCCTCTATTCGGAAAGAGCGTGTGATCGAAGCACGCTTATATGCACTCGACGGGGTACATCATGTGGAACATTTGACAAAGAAATGCTCCAATCGCAATTGTGCAACATTGCACCACTACAACTACCGTTGGGTGGACGGCAACAAGATCAACAGCTCTCATGCAAGTGATCTGGAATTTGTTTTCGTGAATCCCAAGACGGTCTTCACTCGATCT